AATAATTAAAAGAATGGGCTAACAAGTTCCACAAGAATGGAAAAAAGACGGTCACGGTCCCTCCAACAATCGTAAGGAGTGCATAAAATGCTCCCTTTTGTCTACACAGGCTCGGCTGGTGAAATTTTATCAACACAGCCTCAATAACTCGAAGATGGTAAACTGAGCGATGCACTGTGTAGAATTGAAAACCATGTGTCGTCGTCGGTGGCACTGTCTACCATGAAATATTACATACCAATTATTTGGAAATTTTGAGTTCAGGAGTTCAGGAATAAAGGTTCAGGAATGCAGGTATCAAAGGGTTAAGAAATAATCGTTCACATTGGCTTGATGATCCCGACTACGGCCGGATGATGATGATGATGATGATCCGGATTACACCTGGGTGATGATGATGATGATCCCGACTACGGCCGGGTGATGATGATCATGATGGTGATGATCCCGACTACGCTCGGATGATGATCCCAACTACGGCCGGATGATGATGATTATGATCCCAACTACGGCCGGGTGATGATTATGATCCTGACTACGGCTGGATGAGGATGATGATCATGATGGTGATAATCCTGACTATTGTCGGATGATGATCCCAACTACGGCCGGATGATGATGGTGATGATCCCGACTACGGCCGGGTGATGGTGATGATCCCGACTACGGCCGGGTGATGATTATGATCCCGACTACGGCCGGATGATGATTATGATCCCGACTACGGCCGGATGATGATTATGATCCTGACTACGGCTGGATGATGATCCCAACTACGGCCGGATGACGATGTTGATGGTGATGATCCCAACTACGGCCGGGTGTTGATTATGATCCCGACTACGGCTGGATGAGGATGATGATGATGATGATGGTGATGATCCCGACGACGGTCGGAAGATGATGATGATGATTGTAGGTGTTGTATTTTTTGGTATAAAGCTACTTCTTTAATTTGTTTAGCGGCATATCAACCCCAATTAAAGGGTGAAATCTAGATATTTTGTATGTAATTATATGTCCTCAGCTACAAATATTCTGTACATAATTTTACACGTACAGCGTAAATGTATGTTTTATACATATAGTTTACAGATGATCTACATCTGAATTCCAGTCGAATCTATTACATTCACTTACGTGCTAATACCCTTGGAAAAGGTATGAATCCTCTTCTAGATTTTCCCGGGGGAGTAATGGATAGCGGCTTGGATTGAGGAATCGGAGAGCCGAGTTCGAATTCAAGTCGAATCCATTACATTCACTTACGTGGTAATACCCTTGGAAAAGGTATGAATCCTCTTCTCGCTCCAGCTGTGGGTTCTACAGCCTTGGGTGTCAGCCAGTCTAAGAGAAAGTAACTCTGAATTCAAAGCTGTATGTAGCCCTGGTGTAGCACATACTGTACACCTTTGAGCCCTGACTACAGCTTGACTGGTTGTAGAGAAAAATGACGTAATGCCCAGTTACCGGTTGAACAGTGGTAGAGAAAAATGACGTAATGCCCAGTTACCGGTTGAACGGTGGTAGAGGAAAATGACGAACTACCCAGTTACCGGTTGAACGGTGAGTAAGTACTTGTAACTATTTTTATATCTACCGTGAAACATAACATCGCAGTTATTTACGAATTTTGACTCAGGAGCTCAGGCAGAAAAGTTAAAATTGTTCAGAAACTCTGGGCTAAAAGGGTTAAGAAAAGATCATTCGGATGATGACGACGATGATACCGACTATGGTCGGATGATGATGATCCCGACTACGGCCAGATGACCATGATGATTGTATGTGTTATATGTTTTGGTATGAAGCTATTTCTTTAATTTGATTGTTTTTATTTAGCGGCATATCAAACCCAACAGCTTATTTAATGGCAAAATCTAAATATTTTGTTTGTAATTTTACACTTTTAGGGTAAACGTATGTTTTATAGTTTACAGATAATCTACATGGATAGCGGCTAGGATTTAGGAATCGGAGAGCCGAGTTCGAATTCCAGTCGGATCCATTACATTCACTTACGTACTACTACCCTTGGAAAAGGCATGAATTTCTTCTTCTCCCCACCCGCCGCTATGAATTCTATAGTCTTGGTTGGCAGCCGGTATTGGAGAAAGTAACTCTGAATTGAAAACTGTAGATAGCTCTGGCGTAGCACTTACTATACAGCTTCAGAAAGGATCGTTGGCATTGGCTTGACTGATCCCAACTATGGTCGGATGATGATGACGACGATGATGATGATGATTGTAGGTGTTGAATGTTCAAAATCCAGTCGGATCCATTACAATAACTTATGTGCTGATATCTTTGGAAAAGGTATGAATCCCTTTCTTCTCCCTCCACCTATGGGTTCTGTAGCCTTTGGTGGCAGCCAGTCTAGGAGAAAGTAACTCTGAATTCAAAACTGTACCTGGCGTAGCACTTGCTATACAGCTTAAGAAAGGATCGTTGGCATTGGCTTGATTGATCCCAACTATGGTCGGATGATGATGATCCCAACTATGGTCGGATGATGATGATCCCAGCTATGGTCGGATGATGATGATGATGATCCCAACTATGGTCGGATGATGATGATCCCAACTATAGTCGGATGATGATGATTGTAGGCTATTCTTGAATTTAATTGTTTTTGTTTATCAGCGTATCAACCCCAACAGATTATTTAATGGCGAAATGTAAATATTTTGTACGTAATTTTATGCCTTCAACTACAGATATTTTATATATAACTATACTTACGTTCAGGGTAAATGTATATTTTATAGTCGCAGTGGAATCTCGTTTCACGAATTCAATTCGTTCTTGAAGGCCGTTTGTAACCCGAAATGTTCGTAAACCGAACGTATTTTTCCAATAAGAATTGATGTAGAGAAAAAGAGTCACAGTACAATAAAATTGGAAAAGAAAAGAACGGCACAACACACGAATGTATACAACATGGCGGTCGACTCGAAATTATTCCGTTCGGGTTCGCTTGGTTCGGCAATGTTGTTCGAGAACCGAAATTTTGTTCGAAAACAAGGGATTTTCATTTCGAATGTTCTGTTCAAAAACCTATCTGTTCGACATTCGAGAGGCGAGGTTCCTCCGTATATAGTTTATAGATGATCCATTTTAGTTGTTCTATGTTTTAGCATAAACGTATTTCTTTAAGGTAGGGCATTAAGTTTGTTTCTTGTATTATCTTGTTTGTAGATATTAATGAGGTAGATTGGTTGATTTTCTGTAGCAGCATGTCAACCTCTATGGGTTATTTATTGCCGAAATCTAAATATTTTAAACGAAAGTGTATGCCTTCAACTAGATAAAATGTATTGCTGTTCATTTTGTTATAAAATTTATTGTTGGTAATTTTGTTATAAATAGGTATTTTTGGTAATTTTACTGTAGGGAGCCCATAGTTGTTTTCCCTTGGGTTGAGCTCATAGGAGTTTTGGCCCCTTTTAGAGAGTAGAACTCTTCTGTCTTTTTTGTCTTTGCTTCCATTCTTGGAGGAGCGGCCTCTTTACCTTCCTAACCACCAGGGTGTCCCCACACCTGGAAACTGGTCAACATGTGTACGGCCTAGCGAAAGAAAAAGGTACTTTCTATTCACTTATCTGCAGACGATCAAAGGCCATAAAGTTGGTATGTTATTTCTTTGTTCTCTTTCTGTAAACCTCTTCGTTACTTTGGGACAATATGGAGAACCATTTGTAGTGGGACATATGGGAATCTTTTGAATATATGTACGCGCGTTGTTTGCCTTATTAAATGTTTTGTTTGTTACGTTCGCGTATTTCGTCTTTCTATATTCGGATTCAGTGTTAGTCTATCAATGGCTACACTAATGCTAATATTAGTATTGGTGGGCTACTGGAAGACTAAAACACGTTATTCTTCCTAACACAAAATAGTAAACTCTGTGTGGCAGATACTACCATACTAATATTACTATACATAGGTATTGTTGGTAAGTTTGTTTTTTTTATATAAAAATGTGTTGTGGATATTTCTTACATATTTTTATACTTTCAAGATAAAAATATGTTTTATATATATATATATATATATATTATGTAAGCAAATATATGGATATAGATCCGACAGTATGAAGAAAATATATACGGAAAAAATAAACAAAAATGTCATGTCGTATTGATAATGTTATAATTTATGAATATGTCCTGAAGATGGTTTATTAGACCGAAACGTTCGACATTGACATATTAACATTAAAACAATAATTGTATATAATTTTTTGTATTTTCTGTATATATTTTTCTTTTATATATATATATATATATATATATATATATATATATAGTTTATAGATGATCCATTGTAGGTATTAGTATAAACGTATTTCTTTAAGGTAGGTAGTTTGTTTCTTTTATTTTCAAATAGTTTTCTCGTGTTTTCCTTGTAGTATTTTTGTGTCTTACTGGGACTAAATGAGTACATTCAGTTAAAATGTATTTCAACATGATAGACAAGAAGTTATAGCCTTCTTTCTTGAAAGGCTAGAAATAAAAAAAAAATATGCGTGTTAGAATGAGAATTGCTTATTTTCATTGGCGAGAAAGAAATCCCAGCATTCATCTGTATGAGTTATCTATGAATTTGCTGGGGAGGTGGGCGTTTAGTAGCCATTCTCTGAGATTCGAAATAACAGTTTTACACAGAAGATTTTGGGAAACGGAAATGCAATGCTAACGTTTTTAATAACCTTAACACCACTTGGAATTCTTCAAAGTGCTTATGCCGCCATTTTGAAAATCATTTGTGACCCCCTACAAAGCTCGTTTTCTCTTTGATTCCATTGGTAAAAAGGCAATAATTTGTTACGGTCTGAAGAAATTTCAGACAAAGGTCAAGGTGTGAATGCAAATTTTTATTCAGATGCTTATTTGCTGTTGTTGTTGCCTGTGTCGACCGAATGAAAACACAGGAGTTTGAAGGTTGGGGGGTGAGATGGTTTGGTATCAGAAGATGAGTGGGGTGGGTAATAAAAGATGAGGTGTCACTGCCTTATACAGTTTGGTCATCAACCGGTGCCTGTCTCCATGCAATACTGTTTGCCTTGGTGGAAGACTCTGACAAGTGCAGCATTTTGCAACACTCCCCAACACTTCAACACAATCCCCACCAATCATGATTTTTCGTTCAAATCTTCCTCCTCCTCCTTTTCTTTTTGTTTTTCTTCATCTTTTTATTCTTCTTCTTCCCTTCTATTTATTAATTCTCTCTCCTTTCTCTTTTCTTTCTCTTTCTCTCCTCATCCTCTTTTTCTGTTTTCTTTCTCATTTTTGTTTTCTTTCTCCTTTTTTATAGTTTTCTTCTTTTTATTTATTAATTTATTCACATTTGATTTGATTCCACACCTTTTCTCCACGTTCTTCTTCTTCTTCTTCTTTTTCTATTCCTCTCCTCTTCATTTTTCCTCTCCCCATCTTCTTCCTTCACCCTTTTCCTTCTTTGTTCTCCTTCTTTTCTTCCTTCTTTGTTTCCTTCTACTTTTGTACTTCCTTTCTTTTCTTCTCCTATTCATCCTCTTTTCTTTTCCTCTTTTACTTTCCTGTTCTTCGTCCTTTCCCCTCTTTTTCCTTTCCTCTTCTTTTCTTCTCATCTTTCTCCTTTCTTTTCCTCACCTTTTTCTTTCCTCTCCTCTTCTTCCTCCTTTCATTTCCTCGTATTTTCCTTTCCTCTCTTCCTTTCTTTTCACTTTTCTTTCCTTTCCTCTCCGCTTCTTCCTCCCTTTTTTTACTATTCTTTTCCTTTTCTCTTCTCCACCCTTTCCTCTCCTTTTCCTTTCCTTTGCTCTTCTCTCCTTCCTTCTTTCTTTACCTCGTCTTTTCCTTTTCTATTCTTTTCTTCTTCTCTTCTTCCTCATTTCTTTTCCTCTCCTTTTCTTCCTCATTTCTTTTCATCTTCTTCCTCTTTTTTCTCTTCCTTCCTCTCCTCTTCTTTCTCCTTTCCGCTCGTCTTCCTTACCCTCTCCGCTTCTTCCTCCTTTCTTTTTCCTATTCTCTTCCTTTCCTTTCCTCTTTTCCGTTATTTCCTCTCTTTTTCCTTTCCTTTGCTCTTCTCTCCTTCCTTCTTTCTTTACTTCGACTTTTCTTTTTCTCTTTTCTTCTTCTCTTCTTCTTCATTTCTTTTCCTCTTCTTTTCCTTTCCTCTCTTCTTCTTCATTTCTTTTCCTCTTCTCTCGTCTTCTTCCTCCTTTCTTCTCTTCTTTCTTTCCTTTCTTCTTCCTCCTCCTTTCCACTCGTCTTCCTTACCCTCTCCGCTTCTTCTTCCTTTCTTTTCCTCTTTCTTTCCTTTCCTTTCCTTTCTTCCTTCTTCCCTTCCCTTTTCTTCTCCTTTTGATATTTTCTTCTCCTTTTCTTTTTCCTTTTTTCTTTTATTCCTTTCCTTTTTCTCTGTCTTTCCTCTCCTTTTTCCTTTCCTTTCCTTCTCTCCTTTCTTTACCTTTATTTGAACTTTTCTCCTTTTCCTTTTTTTTCTTCCTTTCTTTCCTTTTCCTTTCCTTTTCTTCCTTTTCTTTTCCTTCTTTTTCTTCTTCCTTTCTTTCCTCTTTTCTTCTTCCTTTCTTTTCTCCTTTTCTTTTTTCCTTTCTTTCCTCCTCCTTTTCTTCTTCCTTTCTTTTCCTCTCCTTTTCTTCTTCCTTTCTTTTCCTCTCCTTTTCTTCTTCCTTTCTTTTCCTCTTCCTTTCTTTTCCTCTCGTCTTCTTTCTCCTTTCTCCTCTTCTTCCCCATTTCTTTTCCCCTCCTCTCATCTTTACATCCTCCTTTTTCGACTGCTATATATTCTTCTGCTTTCTATTTTCCCTTTTTATGTTCTCTTCCTCGGTTACTTATTTTACTTACCCTTTCTTTTTTTTTTTTTCACTTCTTCTCTGCTCTCTCCCTTCTTCCTCCTCCTTTCCCTCTTGAACCCTCTCTCTTCCAACCTCTTTTCTCCCCTTCTAATACTTGGTTTTTCTCCCACTTCATTTTCTCCTCCTTCCCCTCATATTTTCTCCTCCTCTTTTGTTTGTAAATCTACTCATTTCACCCGAGGAAAAACAATAAAGCCACTGCGACGCAAGGGGACAAATCGCTGTGAACGTGTTAGAAACTTGGGAAGAAGAAAAAGTCATCAGGAGGATAATAGCGATTGACATTGCATTTAAATTTTTCGAGATTAAAGTTGCCTGGAAAGCCTGGAGCCTGAAGGGAGTTCCACAAAAGAGAAGTGTGAGAAAAGAAACTGTTAGCATCAAACTTATGATTAAATCTAGACAATTCAGCTCTAAATTGAGTCTAGTCTTTCTTTTTATGTGCCGTCGTGACTCTCCACCCCTAGCCCTTGTAGATCTCAATAAGTTTCGTCTCTCTGCCACCTCCTCCAGACCACGATCTGTCATCTATTTGCTTAAGCCCGCCAGGTATGTCATGCATTGCTTTCCTTTGTCTCTTTTTCCCTCTATTCGACCTGTGAGTATCAGATTCTCCAGTCCCTCCTTTCTCATTGCATGTTCTAAAAATTTCATCTGCCTCTTCCTGATGTTAAATATAAGCCTCCTCTTTGTTTGTAACTCCTCTAAGACCTCATCATTGTTCACATGCTTGGTGCATGAGTCTACTGTTGCACATAAATTCAGAGAGTCAAGGTACCATAGCAAAGAGCTCAACCCAACGGCGATGCGAAAGTGACTGAAGCTGAGATGACAGATTAGGGCCAGTAATATTGCTGATTTCTCTTTGGATTTTATCTAAATATTGAGCAGGTATATCAGACCATATGTGGCAGCATTATTCTAAGCGTGGATAAATGATAGATATCGATATGTAAATAGACTCTGAAGAGAAAAACCGTCTAGCACAACACAGTGAACCAACCTTCTTGGCAGCTGTTTTAGCAATGGATTCATTATAGTCTTTTCACTTCATGTCAGTGAAGAATATTTATAGAAAAGGCCAAGGGAAGCTACGTTATGACGATGGGAAATCAGTGGAAATTATTTGTTCAGTGTCAAATTCTTTGAACTTTTGGTAAGCTTTTAATGTTTCTTATTAGTTCTCATACAGCGGTGACTGAAGCTGAGATGCTAGGTCAGGACAGATAACATTGCAGATTCATCTTTGGATTTTTATCAAGAATCTTTAGACACATAGCAGAATCACCAGACCAGATGCAACATCAATATTGAATGCAAGGATTAATGGTAGAATTCTGGATGTGTAACATAGATTCTGTTGAGAAAACTTGTCTACCATGACACAGTGAACCAAATTGATTAGCAGCAGATTTAGTCATTAAATCAATATAACCTTTCCATTTCATGTCAGCTGAAAACTTTAGTCTGAGAAGGTGCAGTTCGTCAATTCCCCGGAGGTTAGCATCAGTCGTACTGATAGAAGACAAAAAGAATCTCTGAGACATATTGAAAGAGAGCAGTTTTGTTTTGGAGTCATTACAATTCACAAGCTATTTCTTGCCCCAGTAAACAACTAATTATTGGTAATTTTTGAGCTCATCTTCCAATTCCTTTTTTGCTTTCTTCCTTCTCCTTTCATTTTATTCCCTTTTCTTCTGTCGTAACTTCAGTTTCTTTCTTTATACATAATTTTCTCATTCGTCTTGATTAGTTTTTATTGTCAATTTTTTTCTTTATTTCCTTTTTGATTCTCCTCATCATCTTCTTCTCCTATGTGGTGTGTCTCTTTGTGATGGCTCTCCACATTTTCCTGTCATTTGTAGTAATGTTTGTCTTTTTGCTATCTCTCCTAATCCCTCTTCTGTCAAACAATTTACACAAATTATTGTTTTGTTGGTTAAGATTTGTATGCTTTTATCTGTCCCTTTTTGATATTTTGTGACTCTTGTGAATATCAAACTTTCCAAACCCTCTTTCCTCATTATAACCTAGAATTTTCAACTGTTCATATCTATCTATCTATGTCTGTTCATATCTATCTATCTATGTATTTATTATCTATCTATCTATGTCTGTTCTATCTATCTATCTATCTATGTCTGTCTATCTATCTATCTATCTAATATCTATCTATCATCCATATTTATCATATCTATCTATCTATCTATATATCTATCTATCTATCTATCTATCTATCTATCTATCTATGTCTGTTCATATCTATCTATCTATCTATCTATCTATCTATCTATCTATGTCTGTTCATATCTATCTATCTATATCTATCTATCTATCTATTATCTATCTATCTATATCTATCTATCTATCTATGTCTATATATATATGTCTATCATATCTATCTATCTATCATATCTATCTATCTATGTCTGTTCATATCATATCTATCTATCTATCTATCTATCTATATCTGTCTGTTCATATCTATCTATCTATCTATCTATCTGTTCATATCTATCTATCTATCTATCTATCTATCTATCTATCTATGTCTGTATCTATCATATCTATCTATCTATCTATCTATGTCTGTTCTATCTATCTATCTATCTATCTATGTTTCATCCATATCTATGTCTATCTATCTATCTGTTTCTATCTATGTCTGTTTATCTATCTATCTATCTATCTATGTATGTATCATATCTATTCATATATCTATCTATCTATGTGTCTATCTATCTATCTCTGTTCATATCTATCTATCTATCTATCTGTTCATATCTATCTATCTATCTTCATATCTATCGATCTATCTATCTATCTATATCAGTATTTTCATATCACACTATATATCTGTCTATATAAGGTATTTTAATTATTTACACTATTTATATTGCTTGAACTGTTGTCCTTATTTTCGTTGCCATATTCACGACGTTTCGGCCGTTGTATGTTCCAGCTTTCTTCAGGATATGCCTATATTTCTAAGATGAGGTATTGTAATTATTTACACTGTTTGGGCTGTTGACCTTATCTTCGTCGCCATTTTCACAAAGTTTTGGCCGATGTATGTTCCGGCCTTCTTCATGATCTGTCTATTGTTCTGAAATGAGCTATTGTAATTATTTACATTGTTTGAGTTAAAGGGATATAACTGATACAGAGACGTGTAAAAGAGATATGACACGCGGAACTAGAACAATCTACCCTGATGGACGCAGTAAAGAGTTCAGTTCGAAATTCAGTCACCTGAAGAAGGCCGAAGTGTACAACGGCCAACACATCATGAATATGTCCACGATGGTGAGGTCAACAGTCTAAATTATCTATCTATCTATCTATCTATCTATCTATCTATCTATCACTGTTCATGAGTATCCCAATATATAGATAGATAATGACTGAAATCTACGTTTATAGGAGAAGAATGTTTATTTGAGAGCGTTTAAAGGTATAAATAGTGTCAGCATAGCATTGAGACTGTCAGATTCACACATCAATGTATCTTCAGCCCCAGTGACACTAAATCAATAAATGTATATATATATATATATATATATATATATATATATATATATATATATATATATATATATATATATATATATATAAACACGTGTCGTAAAATTATGTAAAACAAAGCATAATATTTTTTCTAAATAAATCCACATTACAACCAAAAACGTTTGCGGCACTTCTCTTCTCTTCTTTTTAATATACATACTTTTTCTCGTTGGAACCACTACATTATATTTCTTTTATATATTATATATATATATATATATATATATATATATATATAATAAATAAATATAAATGAAACATATAAAGTAAGGAATACTAAATATATAATAATAATTTAAATTTTTGTTGTCTTTCCCATGTTTCTGATATTTTTCTCTCCTTATCTCACTTTAAGCTTTCTTCCTTCCTTCTCTCTCTCTCTCTCTCTCTCTCTCTCTCTCTTATTCTTTGTCATGTTTCTCACACTTTTCTCTAATACTTTATCGTATTACACATACTTTACTCTCCTTGTCTAACTTTTTTTGTTTTCTCTGTCTTTGTGTCTCCCTTATTCTTGTCCACGTTTCTCGTACTTTTCTCTCCATTTACCTTTCATTTTTCTTTCTTTCTTTCAATCTTTCTTTCTTTTTTCATTCTTGCTTTCTTTCTTATACTTTTTTGTTTCTCTCTCTCTCTCTCTCTCTCTCTCTTATTCTTGTCCATGTTTCTCATATTTTTCTCTCCTTATGACGCATTCAGCTTTCTTTCATTGTTTCTTGCTTTCTTTCTTTCTGATTGTATTTTTCTTTTCTCTGATTGTCCATGTTTTCTCTTTCCTCTCTGATTTTCTTGTCTTTCATCCTTTTTTTTTCTTTTTTCCCTTTCTTTTTTTTTTTTTTTCGACCTTTTTCCCTTTTTTTTTTTTTTTTTTTTTTTTTTTTCCATTTTTTTTTTCTTTTTTTCCCTTTTTTTTTTTTTCATTCTTGCTTTCTTATACTTTTTTGTGTTTCTCTCTCTCTCTCTCTTATTCTTGTCCATGTTTCTCATACTTTTCTTTCCTTATGACACATTTATCTTTCTTTTTTTCTTTCTTCTTTTTCTTTCTTTTTTTCGTTGTTTGTTTCTTTATTTCTTCTTTCTTTCTTATACTTTTTGTATTTCTCTCTCTCTTATCTTTGTCCATATTTCTCATATTTTTCTCTCCTTATGACACATTTAGCTTTCTTTCTTTCTTTCAATTTTTCTTACTTTCTGATACTTTTTTGTATTTCTCTCTCTCTATCTTTTATTCTTGTCCATATTTCTCATATTTTTCTCACCTTATGACGCATTTAGCTTTCTTTCGTTGTTTCTTTCTTTCTTTCGTTGTTTCTTTCTTTCTTTCGTTGTTTCTTTCTTTCTTTCATTCTTTCTGATAGTTTTTTGTATTTTTCTCTTTCTCTCTGATTCTTGTCCATGTTTCTCGTACTTTTACCTCCTTATGACACATTTAGCTCCTTCTTTCATTTTCTTTCTTTCAAACTTTCTTTTTTTTCTTTTCTTTTTTTTTTCTTTTTTTTTTCTTTTTTTCTTTTTTCTTTTTCTTTTTTTTTTTTTTTTTTTTTTTTTTTTTTTTTTTTCTTTTTTTTTTTTTTTTCTTTTTCTTTTTTTTTTTTTTTTTTTTTTTCTCTTTTCTCTTTTTTTTCTCTTTTTCTTTCTCTCTTTTTTTTTTCTCTCTTTTTTCTTTCTCTCTTTTTTTTTTTCTTTTTTTTCTTTCTCTTTTTTTTTTTTTTTTTTCTTTCTTTTTTTTTCTCTTTTTCTTTCTCTTTTTTTTTTTTTTTTTTCTCTTTTTTTTTTTTCTTTCTTTTTTCTTTCTTTTTCTTTTTTTTTTTTTTTTTTTTTTCTTTTTTTTCTTTTTTTTTTTCTTTCTTTTCTTTCTTTCTTTCTTTTTTTCTTTCTTTTTTTTTTTTTTTTTCTTTTTTTCTTTTTTTTTCTTTTTTCTTTTTTCTTTTTCTTTTTTTTTTCTTTCTTTTTTTCTTTTCTCTTTTCTTTTTTCTTCTTTTTTTTTCTCTTTCTCTCTGATTCTTGTCCATGTTTCTCGTACTTTTCCCTCCTTATGACATATTTAGCTTTTTCTTTCTTATACTTTTTTGTATTTCTCTCTCTCTCTTATTGTCATGTTTCTCATGATCTCACTTTTCTCTCATGATCTCACTTTTATCTTTCTCTTCATCTTTCTTTCTTTGTCTCTCTCTCTCTCTCATACTTTTCTCTCCCTGTCTCTTTTTTTTTTTTTTACTTCTTCTTTCTCATTCTTCCTCTCTCAAATCCTTTTCCATGTTTATCATATTTTCTCTCTTTCTCACTTTTTGCTTTCTCGCCTTCTTTCTTTTCTCTATCTTATTCTTTTTCTTGATGCTTCTTATACTTTTCTCTCTCTGTCGCTTTTTCATTTTTCTGTCTCTCTTATTCTTTTTCATGTTTCTCTTACGTTTCTCTCCTCATCTCACTTTTTAATTTTTCTTTCTTTTCTTTCTTTCTTTCTTTTTTATGTTTCTCATACTTTTCTCTCCTTTTCTCACTTTTTGCTTTCTCTCCTTCTTTCTCCTCGGTCAACGAAAGCCAAATGTTTCCTTATAGGGAAACAGCTATTATCAACACAGTAAAGAGCTATAATAGCTACTGGACATGCGAAACCTATTTTCCTGAAAATTTGCTTTAAGAAAAAAGTTTTTATGAATTTCAACCGAAAGCAGTACTGATTGTTCAGTTGATGAATACCAAATGTTTCCTTATAGGGAAACGGCTAATATTATGATTATCGACATTATACTATATCCAGAGAAACTCTTTATTTTTATTTTAATACTGGTTTCTCCAGAAATAAATGCTTCTCCATATTCGTCCCCCTTTCTTCAATCTGTCTAAAAAGTAAATACGTTTTTCCTTATATCTAACCAAACTGTCTTTTCAGTCAAGCTAGCCAGCCAATAATTTTCTTTTCTTTTAACTTTTTACCCACAATTCTCTCTTTAGGGTTCTTATTTATTTCTGAATCCTCCCCTCCTCATTACCTTCATCTTCTCACCCCCACCCCCTAGTTCACCCTTTCTACAAAAAGGAAAGACTACCCCGACCCGTCCGTCTTCTTTAAGTACTACAAGTGTCATACTAGGCTTTCCACTTTGCACATTCTAAAACTCGGCGTGGCGGGGTGGGGGGGGATCACTAAAATACTTTCTGACTAATCGCATTCAGACCTATACTGGACAAACATTTATACGTACTTCGAGGAAACCACCCAAATTTGGATTACACAACTTATTTTTATACACACCTATCTATCTATCTATCTATCTATCTATCTATCTATCTATCTATCTATCTATCTATATACCGAGATACCTACATATTTCAGCTTTTTGTTATTCCGACCTATAAATGGATGTCTGTTGCTTTTGTATTTACCAGATATATTCACCATTTCCGACAGAGAAATTGGGTTTTTCTAAAATTATCCTTGATGCATAGATAAACTGATTAAAAAAACTAATTAAAAATGTTTTTCCAACACTATAATATTTAATTAACATCCAGAAGTTTATTTTAACTGCCCTTATCAAATATATGCTCCGTGGATATTTCTTGCTTTATGGACTATCGATGGGTGACTGATAATAGTCCAAGGTAAGTTTTTATTTTTTTTATTTTTGCATGTTCATCTATCGTTCTTATAATCTTTTCTTGATAATATATTTGAAGAGGAGACGGGCGCTGCCGAGTAATGTGATTTCAGGGTAAATACTACTTTGAATTCCTTTTAAGTGCCAAATGAAACAAAAATCATATTCATCCATTAATACCCGTTGGCTTCCATTTTTTAAAAAAAAGATGGGTATTAACTGTTTACTGGTAGAAATCTTTGATAAATCGGATCTTTTGAAACATAAATAATACCAGATTTTATATATATATATATATATATATATATATAGTTGGCCACTCGTATTCGAGGATGCATGTTTACTAGGGCGGCTAGCCAATCCCTATTGCAGGCGTTTGCATTTGTTGAACAACCACAGGGTCCATCTTTTTGGAACTTTTTATATCCGAGCACCTTAACTGTAAGTACCTGCAATGAAGAATAACGATTTTGAGCCTGCTGCAACGATTATATTTAACTGGAATTTTCGTGATTAAACCGGTTTGAAGAGTGCCGTATATAAAAAGGTCGGACCAGCGAATTATGTCATAGATTTTGCCTGAACTCCTTATAAAATGTAAAATCAGCAAATTGAAACAATGTTGACTGATGAACATTTGAAAGCAATTCTCTTGGTTGGATGCAGCATTTCCTAAGCAAATACTGATTACGTCTAAAAAAGTTAAACGCCACTTTCCCAAATCTCACAAACCTTTTTCGCTGCTTAGAATGTAGTTAAACTTACTATTGAGAAAAAATTCAAATAAATGAAAGTAAAAATGCCAAAATTTTGCCAATCTGATTTTTTGAAACTGTAACATAAGATTTAGGAAATCATTGAAAAAAACAAACAAAAAAAAAAAAAAAACATTTATTAGCCAAGTCTTCATTGTTTTTGACAACTGTCTCCCATCGTCCTACGAGATGGTTGATGCCGTTTTCGTGTTTTTTTTTTATTGGAAGAAGGCAGTTTTCGACTGACAATACAAAAGTTATTTTTTGTCATTTAAATTTTTCTGTAGAGATCGGTCCGAATAAATTTTCTGAGTGTTTTTCTGGCTCCTTTCTTAAACTTATCGAACATAAGAGCTTAGATGTGGTACAAGGCCGAAACTATGGAGCACCCAGTGAGGATCGAACTCTCTACTCAGTCGTAATTGATCTAGCGAGACAAGCTTGCTAACCATTACACCTCGGCTAAGTGCCCTTCATCGGACATAATATGGTGCAAGTGGAACTTTTCATCATCGTCCAGGCATTCATTTGTAGACAAAATATGACCATTGACCGACTCACAACTGACCGATGCAAGGTTTCAATGTAAAATACACCAAAAGTCATCACCAAAACAAACGCCAGTGTCAAGTTACGATCCTTCTATGTTAACAATGTAAATTGGACTGCTACTTATTTAGTGCTAAATTTACAATGATTCTTAGTACTAATTATGTATACCTACATAATATAAATAATTCAGTCAGTTAAGTGCCATACGTGATACACGCTTGGACGATCATGTATCTTTCGATACACGACTGACGAGACAGATTTTTTTCTGCTGTAGGTTGCCATTTCTTCCTGCGGTAGACTGGTTTCCAACCAAGGCAAGAAAACCAGCCTTCTGCTATTCAACCCATAGCTGGGGGAGAAGAGATAGATTCATACATTTCCCAAGTGTATTTGCGTGTAAATGAATCTAACGAACTCAACTAGAATTCGAACTCGGCTCTTACCACAGCGCACATAAATAATTATACTAATAAAAATACATTTCAATAAGTGTGAACATTCTTGGGTATTCTGTTTATATGTTATATATTAAGAAATCAAGTTTCATCTGTTTTCTTTTTTTTTTTCTTTTTTATTGCTTATCAACTCCTTGTGGTTTATTTAAAGCCAAACCATATTTGGGATTGTAGGAGAATGCTTAGGGTAAGCAATGTTCACAAACAGTCCCCCATCTAAGTACTGTCCAGGCGCAACACTGCTTAACTTTAGTGATCGGACGAGAACTGATGTTTTCAGCGGAAACATTATGAAGAAAAGATTGTTTATTGAGAGAGCAGGTTTATTATTATTATTATTATTACTAATGACTTTACGATAGGAATGCATTGCAAGTCAAGGAGAAATGAATTGACAGAACGAAAGCAAGGATGAATAGGGTTATTATATGTATAATGAAAATGCATTGTTAATGATTTTACTATAGGAATGCATTGAAAATTTTAAAAAAATGAGTGGTCAGGAAGAAAGGCATTTTGATAGTGGTTTTATATGAATGAAAATGCATTGCCAGGCATTACTATAAAATGCATTGAAAGAATAAAGGATTGACATAAAAATAAGCATTACTGAAGAAATTACATAAGGAAATGTTCTTAGATCTCAAATATGGATTGGAATTCTACAGAATGGTTTGATAAAAAACATTTATTAAATGTTTATATACATTTCCTAATAGAAATGTTGAGATTTTATAAAAGTTTCTTATTTGTTCCTTAAAGAAGAGTACAAGTGGATATCACCATTCAGAAAACAGTTTCAGTCTGCCTACCGTAAGGGATTACCAGAGAAAATACAAAAGATCTGTGGTCCATATAACATCAAGACTATCTTCAAAAGTGGTTCGACACTTTGCAGACACCTCTTCCGAGTAATATCCCCTTTCCCTTAGAAGGGAACATGACTAAGAACTGTGTGTACGCCGTCCCGTGCTGCTGTGATAAGAAATAATAATGAGAAATAGACCGATCCCTTAAGGTAAGACTGCAAGAACATTGTAAAGCCGTAACACGAGGGAAATAGAAAAAATCAGGTGTAGCTGACTACATATAGAGGAAAAAGTGAAATCACCGCTCACTGTTGTATAGGGTTGAAACAAAATCACTGGAAAATACGAAAACTTAAGGAATCAGCACATATGCTACGCCACAAAAAATCTCTAAAGCGACCAAACATAGAAATGAATATTATATCGGAACCAGTCATACGGAGTACTAAAGAAAAGCAATAATAATAAAAAAAAAAAAATGAAAATATGTGCTCTGGTAAAAATGGTTGAGACATTAATTTTATAAGTCTCAAAAATTCCTACAATGATGTCCTCAAGGACACATGTCTCAGTAGATAGAAGCCTTGGTTGGATCCAGTGACGCGACCCAAAAGAATTGTGAGTTAAATACCTGACTACTTCAATGGTGAACAAAAACCTGGAGAGTTGGGTTAAAGAAAGTGGCATGGCATGTGGAACTAGAACAATCTACCCCGGTGGACGAAAGAAAGGGTTCAGTTCAAAATTCCGATCACCTAAAGAAGGCCGAAGAGTACAACGGCTGAAAGGTCGTGAATATGACAATAAAGATGAGGACGACAGTCCGAACAATGTATATAATGTAAATAATTACAATACCTCATCACAGAAATATAGACAGATCCTGAAGAAGGCCGGAGCGTACAACGGTCGAAACGCCGTGAATACGACAATAAAGATGAGGATAATAGTCCGAACAATGTAAATAATATAAATAATTAGAATACCTCATCTCAGAAATATAGGCAGATATTATTATTTTTTTTTCTTTTGTTTTCTGTTGTATACACATTTTCTTCTGGGTCCCAACCAGAGACCTAAGGTCAAAAATGCCTTCATGACATTTTCCACTGATCATTTTTGTAAAACAAACAAGCAAATAAAAAACCCTATAGATAAAGCTCTTCGTAATATGTCAGCTGTACTTGTGCGTACAATATTTTTGTTTAAGACATGAAATACCAGGAATCCCTTCAATGTTGATCCTAACATTTTCCAAACAATCCGAAGGCTCCAATCACAACTGGAATTATTGATTTCTTCATATGCAACATTTTTTGAGATTTACACTTCAAGATCATGGAATTTTGATGGAGTTTTGAAGATCTTCAAGGACCCATTACAGACTACACGGACTGCCATGTCAAAAGGAAAAAAATGTTTTTGTTGTCTTTGTCTGAACGATTACCTATCGGAAACTTCTACTAAAATTACTACTGATAATTATTGACTATTGATGATTGATTATTTTACATTAAATTTATGCCCTTCAAATTTAACTGTCCATAAACCACAACATCTTCAGTTAAATTAAAAACTTTGGAGATCTTGTCGAAGCATTCATTTGAAAGTATTCCTGTCCTATGCAACCTCGTCCTGGGTATGATGATAAACTACATCCGGCAGCAAGGCCTCTGATTAAGAGATTCGAGGTTTTGAAGAGCGTGGAACCACTTTTTAATTGCTGTTGTTCCCATATCCACACTGACCCGGGGTGGTAGCACCTGTTAGGGTCCCATCTATAGCCAAATAGGGAACCCCCAACAAAACTCAACAGTACATTTTTATAATAAAATGACCAACATTACATTTTTTATTGCAAAATGACAATCAATACATCATTAAAAAAATTTAAAAATACATTTTTACAGTAAAATTAACAAAAATGCATTTTATGTGCTACAAGATACACCCCTGATCAAAATCTCAAGACCAGATACAAATGGGTTAAAAAAAACTGTTAATTTAATCAAAATATATTTGCGAAATATTTACATTTAATTAGAAAATGTAGTTTACAACAAACAAATGAAAATTTTAAGATTTTTAATTGATTAATTTTAAGTGTATCTAAAAACATACCTTTACTTTGAAAGTACCAAGTTAGGTACAAAATTTGTAGTTGAAAATTACCTACAAAATATTTAGATTTCGGCAGTAAATAACCCATAGATTTTGATATGCTGCTAAACAAAATCAACGAACCAATATTACATTAATCCATATCCTACAATTTCTTAAATAAATTAAACTCTATTCCAAAATATAATTCTTCAGCAAACTACAACGTAAAAGACACATATCACCGCCTCTAATAATTATATCCACACAAACATGTATATCCACAAAAGCGGAGTATCATCTACCATGTATTCAATTGTGAAAGCAGAATAACAAGACTATAACATAAAACCCACATATCACCGCCTCTAGTAAATATGTCCACACAAACATGTATATCCACAAAAGCTGAGTATTATCTACCATGTATACAATTGTGAAACATATATCATATTTTTATTACTTCAAAGCTCCCCAGAAAATTAAATTTCCGTATTAGATGACCCATAAGGATGTTGATATGCCGTTAAACAAATAAATCAATCCTATGTAAACCCGGTGTGCCTATTCACGACAGTCGCATTATTTACGGTCTTAAGTGACCTGTTGTATCAAATGACGTTACAATCTCACATTAGCAGTATTCATTAAAATTTCCGGTTGGGATTTTTTCAAGTTTATAATAGAATTTGGCCTATTGAGCTGTTTCGTTTTCGGCCAACCATAAGTAGAAGGACTTGTATCTGGAAAATACATTGTTAATCTAAAACGAAATGTTAATGTAGTATTCTGCAGATGAGACAGTGCTGATAGCAGATAAGAATAAGAAAACAGAATGTATGGTTGTTAGCAAAAGGGTCAACCCAACATGCAAATTACAAACTGGAGATACCAAGATCAAACCAGTATAACAATGTTTTCACAAAAGACGGGAAGTGTGACAGTGAAATCCCAAAGCGCATTGGGATAGCAAATGCCGTCTTCTAAAAGCTAAGCAAAGTAATATGATGAAATAAATGGAAAAAAAATTGACAGGTGGGATGGCTCTTTCCGAAGGAAAATCGGTTGACTAGTTAATGTATAGATGTAAATATTTGTGTACAGCTCAGTCAAAAAAAAGATGACAGTTAATATAAAAAATTTCTAAAGCTAAGCAAAGTATTAAGAAACAGGAAGATTTTGTCAGAAACCTTTTTCTCTTTCAATTTTTCTATGTAATATCAATCCTCCTATATGGCAGTGAATGCTGGACAATCTCCTCATGTCTTCCAAAAGCTAAACAAAGTATTAAGAAACAGGAAGATTTCGTCAGAAAAGAAAGAAAAAGTGAAACTTCTATGTAATATCAATCCTCCCTATTTAAAGTGAATTTTGGACAATCTCTCATGTCTTCCAAAAGCTATAAAGAAAGAAAGAAAAAAATTCTGATGAACTTCTATGTAATATAAATACAGCCTTGAATTCTGGAGAATCTCCTCAAAGATGAAGAAGAGACTTGAAGCAATAGAGATGTGGTTCTATAGAAAGATGCTGAGTATGGCATAGACTAAACATGTGAGCAACGAAGAAGTTTTAGAGAGAATCGAAACAAAAAGGAGACTTATATATAGAATCAGAAACAGAATTAAAATTTGTAGGGTAGGTAATGAGGAAAGTGGGCTTAGAAAACTTGACACTCACAAGATATATTAAAAGCAAGAGGAAAGCTAGATGTAGGCTAACGAATGATCTTGCGTAAATATTTAGCAGAATAGGAATTAGGAGACATAGCAAAAAGTAAAAAAAAATTACTAAGAGCTACAAAGGAAAAGATATTGTGGAGAGCCATGATCGGACATGTTCCTGAAGGGACAGGTCATATAGAAGATTATTGGCCTCTTATTGAAACCTGCATCTTAAAAAAAAAAAAAAAAACTAGTCTTATCGTTGTGCAAATTTAAAAGATCAGACTATGCTTATATATTATTCAAATGAAAGATCTTTTGATAATTGCATTCCCGTCTACTTTTTCTTTTATGTACCATGTTTCGTTAAGATGTGGGCAATCATGGCTCTCCACAACTACCTGCTTTTTACAGCTCTAAGCAGTATTTGTCTCTTTACCATCTTTTCATAGTGTATATATCCTTTGACATAAACTGATTATGTTAATTATTCCCATCCTTTGAGTATGTGAGAAATCATGGCTCTCCACAAATTCCTGTCTTTTATAGTTCCAAGCAGAATTTTTTACTTTACCATTTTCCCCAATCCCTAAACTATCATCCTTTTACATAAAGTTATCAGATTACTTGCTGTTTCCCTCTATCTTTTAAGGATGTGAAAAACCATGGCTCTCCACAACTTCCTATTCGATTGTTCTTTTCTATC